AGAGTAAAAGTAATCAACTTACTCGATGAAACTAAGTAAGATTTTTAAGTTCGTCGAAAGAAAATGATTTATTTCTTATATGGCATAATCAATTACCCATGCCTTATAAAATTGGACAATGTTTATTTCCCATTTGTTTTGCCTGAATTTGACCTAACGATAAATAAAACTCATTTCCTTTTTGTAGAGAAATGGGTACAATGAGCTGATCTATAAGTCATAATCATTTATTTTATTATTATGTATCATATTTTAGATTTGCCCATACTGGATTTATATTCTAAAAGGCTTTATGGCGATTTAATACTTAGCACAAAGGCAGAAAACTTGCCTTGGTTATGCTATGCAGCAGTTTCAGAAAGCATTATAACTTCAACAAGAAAGCCAATTTTCCAACTTAGAAGTTTCTCTAAATATCAGATCCATAAATTAACTTATAGCATTTATTTCATTTTTGTCATTTTATGTATTATTTATTTGCATTTATGCTCATATAATGACAAATGTAATGGAACAGCAGGATTATCACTTATGTAATTTGCTATAGCTTAAATTAACTCGAGTAAGATATTCACTATAATTTAGCCATGTAAAGACTGCTTAGACATTTTAAATAATGATATATTAAATTAGTTCGTATTACATATACTATTTAAATCTATCATGGGCTTTTAACTACTGCACTTGAATATAATATGATAGTTCCTGGTTCAGGTAACCTTGTCTCAATATTTAGTGCTTTATTCCATTATAAACGAGGTTACCTGATACAGTAGTAATGTTAATACTTAGCAATAGAGCGTTGGCTTGGTACATTGCCAGATGTTTCGCTTGCATCTTGATCGGCATTGTCATTCAGTTTTGCGATTTCTTGTTCCTATAAATACAACATTTGTCCGGCAGTATTCAGTGCATCATCTGTCAATCTTACTACTGTAATTAAAATCATAGATATAATGTCAAAGACGTTGTGGCTACTATTTTAGTCGCAGTCTCCTTTCGATGTATAGAAGTAGTCTTATCTCATTTTCGCAACTTAGCCATGTTGTCACGGCGATTTAGCTGGGCGCACCTCTGCTTTGGTAGCTATGAGAATTCCAAGTATTATCGCGGACTTGGTGCATTCCCAAATGCTTATCTGGCACCGTACATTGAGTCTGGAATTTATCAGTACCTAAAAGATTCTTCTTTGTCCTCCTGAATTCTGTGCATTGTCTTGCAATCTTCTTACTGCATATAGGTGGTCTAAACTCGTTTTTTGAAGCTTGTTAGTGTTGTCAGGGCGACTTAGTTGGACCTACCTTGTACAAGGTCCTCTGGCGTAGTAATTATGATAGTTCTCAGAGTTGGAATGTGGACCTGGTACATTCCCATCCGTATCGCCGGAATCGTAATCGACATCATTGGTGAGTCCCGCCATTTGCAGCACCAGTAGTTAGTTTCTTTGTCCGGCTGTATTCAGTTCACTGCTAAGCAATCTTACTACCGAATTTTATACTTTGATATGAGAAAGAAGACTTTATGGCCTATAGTTTGGTCACAGTCAACTTTCCATGTATAGAAATAGTCTGAACTAGGTTTCGCAATTTTGTCCTGTACATAGTGAGACAAAATTGGACTCACCATGTTTAAAGTTCCAGTGCTTGCTTGTTGACTTGATACATTTCCAAATGTTTCTTATCATCATAACCTACTTTATCTGTGAGTTCTGAAACTCTCAGCACACGTGAATTATATTCTTTTTCCGGTTGTATTTAGTGCATTGTCTGGCGATCTTACTGTAATAATTTAAGCGTAGATATGAAAAGCATGATGATGAGCCTCTTTTTGGTCAGAGATTCCTTTTGAGGTATATAAGTGTTCTGACGTCGTGTTCTTAATGTGACTTATGTGAAGCATATGCTGGTTTCCTATAAACATCTCTGCCTAACTCCTCATCTTTCATAACATTGTACAAAAGACTATCCCCTATTTTCTTATAATTCCATTGTGAACTTAATATTTCTTACAAGCTGGTTAATTAAAAAATAGGAAACTATCTAAACTGTCCTTAACATTCTGCCAGATCACAAAAAATCATCCATATAAATAATAAACAATTTAAGGGTAATAATTACTTCTTGCATTAAGCGGTACTCAAATTTTGCCATATTGGAGCTAAGCAAGAACCCATTGCAACTCTTTGAGTCTTTTTATAAAACGTATCGTCAAAGGTGATATAAGTACCACGCATAGATAAGTTACGAAGCCTTAGAATAGAGACAGTACTCAACTTAATTACCTTCATAATATCTGAATGCTCATGCAGGGTGAGCATCAGAGCCTAACTGGTCTCATGAACTGAGATATTTGTGTACATTGATATCACGTCACAACTTTATAGTACGTTTTCTTCTGAAATACTATGCTAGTCCACTAGCTTAACAAATTTATAAGGGTCTTTAACCGATAATAACAAAAGTTTGGTCACCTCTTTTAGGTGTCCGTATAACCAACGTGAGAATTTATGTATAACATTACCCTTGTTATTTAAAATTAATCTAAGGAGAATCGCCTCTTTATGAACCTTTGGAAGTTTATTAGTCGACTATGCCTTAGCATCTCTTTGAATCAAGGAATTAATTTTCTGTCACTGCTCCACCTTTGTTAGCTATCATAGCTATTTGATTATTTCGAAATAACTATCAAGATAACTTGCTTATAAGAAAGGATTTATTTGTTGTACATTCCTGTCCAAAGTTTAGGATCACCTCCATATTTATACTATTCTTGACTTATTCAGGTAATCTATCTGATGTAATAATTAGCGCAACCAGTATGTCCAGAGAATGGTTTACTTGATTCGGCAGCACGAAAATGAATCCTCTTTCTGACCTAGTTTTTGCAACTTGGATGTGGTGTCAAGACGACCTAGTTGGATTCACCTTGGTCGAATTCCTCGGGTATAAGAGTTATGATAATTTCTAGCGTTGGACCGCATATTTGGTATATTCTAAGACGTTTCTTTGGCATCGTAAACGGCACCGTCAATTAGTCTTGCGACTCTCACCACCAAGTTTGAACTCATCAAAAGGACAAGTGGAGTCAATCTCTTGACTGACGTTCTGCGGAAAGGTCATAATATAAGGGAATTGCTTTGACACATTATTCTCATACTAATCTTCTGCCTCTAACTTCTTTAATTATGAGACTTTTGATTACTTTAGTAAATTTAAACTAAAATTGGATTCAAAATAAAGGAATATAATTCGAAAATGATTATAGTATATAATTATATTAGTGATTGGCACTTCTGAATCAGAAAAATATTGTTATGATTTGTGAGAAGATATTAATAATATCTCCGTTTATAGCAAATGAATTGAATATGGAATTCAGAATAAACCACACTGCATAAAGTAAATTGACATATACAGGGATTAATATAGAACGAGCTAATTTTTTAAATATATGTATAAATAAGTAACGCAGTTTCCGTTAAAAAAGAGAACTAGGCAATGAGCTGCTTAAAAAAGAGTTGACATGGTTTTCGTTATTTGGTCTTGTTGTTGCCAAGGGAAGAAATATCGTGGCCTGCGTCAACATTAATATAGCATAAAAGCCAAACGGCGGCAATACAACGAGATTCATCCGTCCTCATCTGGTGAGATCGACCAACGAATCT